GACGACGAGGACGACGAGTGCGGCGCGGCGGTGGAGCGCATGTTGCTCTCCTGCGGCGGCTCGCGCTCTCTGTACGCCATACCCGCGCCTGCCCCTCCTGCACCCGCACCCGCACCCGTACTCGTCCCCACCCCAGCACCCACCCCCGCGCTGAGCGTGTCCGTCCTCTGCACCGTGTTGCTCCTCGACGGCGTCCCCGCCCCGCTCGCCCCCTGTCCCTGTCCTTGTCCTTGTGCACTCGCCCCACCCACTCCCACCCCCTGCTGCGCCGCCACCGCCGCCTGCGCCGCCATCTCCATCGTCCCCCGCCTCTCCACCCTCTTCATCTTCTTCCTGCACCGATCGCACACCGTCCCCGGCCCCAGCGGCCCCGGGCCCCACTTCTCCACGCACTTGCCGTCCTTGTACCGCCCCGGCAGCCCGCACTGCCGGCAGATGCGCTGGTGCGCCGCGTTCGTCGCGGGGAAGGGCGTCTGCGGGGGTTTCGTCGTTAGTTATGAGTTACGATATTTCAGTTATGATATCATATGATATTATCGGAAAAGGGAGGGAAATTATAGGGCAAGGGAGGGAAAAGGCAGGCAGGAAGCAGGAAAGGAGAGGAAAGGACAAGCCACTCACCCCCGGATTCGCCACCACCGCCGCAGCGGCCCCCACCGGCGCCTGCCCCGCACCATACCCAAACCCGCCCCCGCCCGCATGCAGATCCTTCGTCCCCTTCTTCTGCGGCTGCGTCTGCGGCGGCGGCGCAAACACGCTCGGCTGGCTGTACCCCGGATCCGGCCCCGGCCCGCCCCGCCGCGCATCGACCGACCCCGCGCGCTGCGGCGTATGCTGCCCCGGCACGTCGAGCGTCGCGCCCCTTTCCCTTTCCCGTTCCCGTTCCCGTTCCCGCTCCCCACCCCCACCGCGATACCCCGGCGTCCCCGCGTGGTTGGCGTTCGCATTCGCGCCGGGGGCAGGATGCGCAGGGTGCGCAGGGTGCGCCCTCGGCGACGCGTTCGCGCTCTCGAGCAGCAGCCGGTCGAGGTCGTCGTCCGACGCCGTGCTCGGGGATCTGTCCCGCGGGCCGTCCCGGTCCCGGTCCCGGTCCCTGTGCCCGTGCTGGGACTGCGAATGCGAGCGGGCATGCGAATGGGACGAATGGGCGGGGTGCGTGGGTTGGCGTTCCGGCGAGCGGCGCTGCCGCGACGCGGACTGTAACAGGGGCGCACCAGAGCCAGAGCCGGAAGGCGCGTTGGGGTACCGAGACGCGGGGAGGCCGGAAGGGTAGTACGCGTGCTGGGCGTTGGGGTGGTGGTACTAGAAAATGAAAATAAAAACGGGAGGAGTCAGTATTGGATTCGATTGGAATCAAGCAATGGGAAGGAGAGAACGAAAATGAAAGAAAGGAAGGAAGAATAAAATTATCAAAGAACAATGCACTGAATATACGCCAAAGGCCCCCAAAGCCCACCCACGTCTGTACAGGCGCCGAGGGTCGCAGCAGTGCGTCTAATGCCACCGCGTGGAACCCCAAGTTCCGACTCGCCTCACCGCCGACGAGACAAGAATACACACGCGTGAGGCGTTCGCACTGGCCGTCGCGGAGTTATGCACTTCCCCGGCGACGAGAGAGAGAATTCGAAGGATGACGAGACGCGAGAAAATGGGACGACGAAACGAATCAAAATAATGGAAGAAGAGATGGTAGTCAACGCGGAACGCTGTGCAGTGAGCGTGGCGCTCGAGGGACGGCGCCTGTTGAAAAAAAAAAAAATTGCCGCAAAAAGGAGGGCGCGGAAGTGGAAAAAAGGACGAGAAGCGCGCTATAGGTGAGCGCGAGGCGCAAGCAAGTCAGTGACATGGCTCGGATGCCCACGAGCGGTAAACAGCAAGCGGCAGATGACAAGTGGGCGCGCCCTGCTCCACCAGGGCCGCGCGAGCCGTTCATCCGTCCGTCAGCCACTGCCCCGGTGAAAAATCAAAATCCAAAGCAGCGCGGTGCGGTGCGGAGATATCCACTCGACCGCCGACGAGACGAGACGCCAGAAAAACGGAGCGAAAGAAAAGAAAAGAAAAAAGAAGCAGAGATGGTGATCAACGAGCAAGGAACGCGGTCGAGAGAGGCATAGCATAGTGGCTCATAGAAAAAAAAACCGAGACCGGCGTAGCGCCCTCGACGCGAGGTGTCGAACAGCGCCTCGTAGAAAAATATCCTGCGAGGCGCGGACGGGACGGGACGAAACAAGAGATGGAGAAAAGACAAGACGTAAAACGAGGAAGGCAGAACTGGAGCGAGGAGAAAGCCCAAGGAGAAGTGCGCGAGCGGAGATGTCCACATAACGTCGAGATCAAAGAAGAAGAAAAAGTGATACTTGACGAGGACGGCACGACGTCGGGTGGAGATGGACGTCCGTGGGCGGGCGTACGAGTACGCGCGTACTCGCAGCAGCGCGCGGCCGGGCCATGCGACAAGGCAACAGGCCCAAAAAATAACGAACGCGTGAACACACCCCGAGACCAGACGAAGGGAAAAGAAATGATCGTGAAAACCCACCTCGACATCGCCGCTATCGCCGCGCATCTTCTTCGACGGGTGGCCGCCCCCTCCAGACGTGTACTGCACGTCCATGCTGTCGCGCGGGCGGCGGCCCAGCCCACTCGTCGTCACGCCCACGCCCACGCCCGCGCCAGGCAAAGGCGGAAGCGGCAGCCCGCCAAAGGCATCGCGATGCGTGCCGCGGCGGCGCTCGCGGTCCGCGCGGTCGCCATGCGAAGGCGGCGGCATGTAATACCCCCCGCCGCCGCCGCCCCCCCCGTACCCACTCATACCGCCCATGCGCTCCATATACGCACCGCCGCCGCCATAGGGATAATTAATCGGCGGCGTGGCCCCGGGCCCGGAGGCAGGGAGGGGGACGTCGACGAGGACGAGGCGGCCGCCGCCGCCCTCGACGATGCGGGTGAAGCCCTGGCGGGCGTCCTGGGCGCGGGCGTCGACGACGCCGAGGTAGGCGTTGAGCTGCGCCCAGTTGGACTGCAGGAGCGCGAGGCGCGCGAGGGCGTCGTCGCGGCGCTGCTCGGCGGCGGCGGTGCGCTCGTCGAGGGCGAGGAGGTGCGCGACCGTCGCGGGGGGGAGGGTTTGGGTCGGCGTCGTAGCCACCGCCGCGGGCAGGGGGGTCATCGGGACGGAGGGCGAGTCGCGCGGGGCGGGGGGCGAGGTGCTCGTGGTGGTCATCTCGGGCGACGCGGAGGGGTCGGCGGTGCTCGCGGTGGTGGGTCGGTCGCCTGGGGCGTCCTGTGTGGGCGGCGTGAGGGTGGCGGCGACGGCGGCAAAGGTGGTGAGGAGGCGTTCGGCGCGGTCTGCGCGCTTGCGCTGGGCGGCGAGCTCCTCGCGGACGGCCTCGAGGTCGGTGAGGGCGCCGGCGAGGAGGTTCGCGAGGTGTGCGGAGGTGGAGAGGGTGCCGGGGAGGGCAGGAGGGTTGGGGGGGGAAGCGGCAGGAGCATGAGGCGCAGCGGCGGCGGCGGTAGCAGCGTCGTCGGCAGTAGATTTATCGAGGGCGGGCATGGGCACATCAGCGTCCTTGTCGTTGTTCGCGGCGGCGGGGGCGGGGGCGGGGTCGACGCCAGGGATGTCGGTCATCGTGGCGCGTGTTCTGCGCTATGTCCTCGTATACTCGGAAGGGGCAGTTTTGTGTGTGCGCGCCTTTATCGAATCGCGGTTTTTGTTGGTTCGCTCCACGCACGCCTCGCCGGCACGCGCCAAACCGCCAAGTCCGAGTCCGCTTTCCGAGCCACACGAGCGGGCCATTCCAACCCAGCTTGCCGCGTGGAATCACCCACCGCATCACGGAGTTAACAAATATGCGCCTTGTTCGCCCTTTCTTCGCCCCGACGCCAATCCCTCTCTCGTTATTATTCTGTTCCCGTCCTGGCCTGACGACTATCCATCCCTTTCCCTCCTCAGGCCTCAGCGCCTCAGCTCGTCTGTTGTTTCAAAGTACAGCAAAGTAAGACGTATGTAACATCATCACCAAAGCGCGCTTCTGCGCCGCGCTCCCCGGGGTCCCTTCCTGCCTGCCTGCCTCCCTTCGTTTCCGAAGCCCAACGCAACGCGGCGCATTCGCTTCTGATCCCCGCTCGAGCGCCGATCCAATTAGCCACCCAGCCAATCGCATCCATCGTCTCTCATATGCATGCATGTTCGCGCCCCGTATCCACCCGGCTGCCCGCATCCAATCGACCTCGCGATCCTCGCATCCCGTATTGCACCTGTCACCGTATGTCGTGTCAGCGACATATTGGAGACGCCGCCGCCCCGCACCGCCGAGCCGGTTCGCGCGTGCGTGCGGCGGGTGTTATTCGCATGTATGTATGTAATAGAACGCCCTCCTTGGCGCGCGCCTCGTGCCTCGTGCCCCGCGCCATCGCACATACCCATCACGTAATCCTGCGTCCTCCCCGCTTCCCGCCCCTTTCGTTGCGCAGGCACGGGCACGGGCACCCCGGTGACGTACTACTCACTCACTGTTGCGATTTCAACGGTCGTCGGTGCGGGATGATCATCCAGATTGGATTTGGTGCAAATTTCAGATCGTAGAGGAAGGAAGTACTGTAATAAGGATACTAATATACTAAAGTCAGGGATGGATGTCGGGAACAGTATATCATATCGTCCATACCAGGACTATACCGCCCATGCCCGCCCGCCTTCCTCGGCTCAGTGATTCACCTGGTCAATTACGAGAACGAGACCGGGACTGAGTCGGAATTTAAATTAGGAGCTAGGAGCTAGGGGTCGGCAGCGCTACGCGTCGGCGAGCGAGCGGGCGCCTCGAGTCCCATCCAATGACAATTCGTTTCACCGCCGATGCCGATGCCGATATTTTATTTATTCCCTCTGCGTCCGTACGACAACATACCATCCAGATCTAGATATTTTATTTATTCCCTCTGCGCGTCTCGCACCTTCAATTAGTACGACAACACAACATCTAGATCTAGAGCTAGAGATACAAGCGTCCTTGGTGTACGGTAACACACATCCTACTGGTGTCCACTAGGAACTAAAGTCTTTAGGATGAGACCGGGGTTCAACTCCCCGAGGACGCGTTTGCCTCTCGTTCTGCAATTTTCGTCTTTTTCTTCGGCTACTACATACGTCCGTTCCCAACAGATACCTGAGCGTGTCTACATACGACCGGCACCAGCGTCCTTGGTGTAGCAGTTACACGCATCCTATTTGTTCTCCAACCACCTGTAGCCTTTAGGATGAGTCCGGGGTTCGACTCCCCGAGGACGCATGCGGTGGTCCTCTACTTTGCATTTTTTTCGGCTACGTCTGAATCGGTCCCCAACAAATATATACCGCAGTGTGTCTCCCCTCGTCATCACCCTGGTGCCGCCCCTGGTGCAGGCGTCCTTGGTGTAGCGGTTACACGCATCCTATTTGTTCTCAAGCCACGTACAACCTTTAGGATGAGTCCGGGGTTCGACTCCCCGAGGACGCATGGCATGGCTTGGTAACATTTTTTTTTCTTTTTTTGTGGGGGGGGCGGTATTCAGTCCCTGAACCTCGTCGGCTTATATTTCGGTTAGCACATTCTGTCTTCCTCTTTTTCCTTTTCCTTTCCTGGGTCTTCATTCAGATTGTTGCCATACAGTGTAGGTGCTGACCTCTATTTATGTAAGTCATATGCAGTGGGACAACATACTTATTAGGATTAGGATGTGGGTAAGCGCCCTTGGTGTAGCGTTAACACGCATCCTGTTTGTTAAGGATAGTAAAGGAACATTATGGATGAGTTCGGGGTTCGACTCCCCAAGGGGCCCTACATCAATTCAAAGAGTGCCTTGTTCTTTTTTATTTTTATTTTTATTTGTGGGGGGGGCAGTATTCAGTCTCTGAACCTCGTCGGCTTATTTTTCGGTTGGCACATTCTGTCTTAAGTACTCTTTTCCCTTTCCTTGGTTTTTCATTCGAATCATTGCCATACAGTGTGGGTTGGGTGCTGACCCCCCTAAGTATTTATGCAAGTAAGTCATACGCAGTGGGGCAACATACCTACACTTATTAGGATGTGGGTAAGTACAAACACAACACGCCCTTGGTGCAAGGTAGCACACATCCTGTTTGTTGATGGGTAGTCAAGGAACGTTACGGATGAGTTCGGGGTTCGACTCCCCGAGGGCGCATGATAGTTGATTTCGTTCAGTTTTGTCTCTCAACTTTGTAGGTTGATTTTTCGGTTGGCACATTCTGAATCTGTCTTACTCTTTTTCCTTTCCTTGGGTTTTCATTCAGATCGTTGCCATACAGTGTGGTGTGGGCAATGCTGAACCCCCTATTTATGTTTATGCAAGTAAGTCATACACAGTGGGGCAACATACTTATACTTATTATTAGGGTGTGGGCATGGCATAAAGCGCCCTTGGTGTAGCGTTAACACACATCCCGTTTGTCAATCGGCCACCAGGAACATTCCGGACGAGTTCGGGGTTCGACTTCCCGAAGACGCATGCGGTGCTCCTCTACTGTGCATTTTTTGTCTTTTTTTCGGCTACGTCTGAATCAGTCCCCAACAAATATATACCTCAGCGTGTCTTCCCTGGTGGTCACCCTGGTGCCTATCCTGGTGCCAGCGTCCTTGGTGTAGCGGTTACACGCATCCTATTTGTTCTCGGGTCACATACAATCTTTAGGATGAGTCCGGGGTTCGACTCCCTGAGGACGCATTGAATATGGTTGGTTTTTCTTATTTTTATTTTATTTGATTGTATTTGGGGGGGGCAGTATTCAGTCTCTCAACTTTGTAGGTTTATTTTTTATTTTGGTTGGCACATTCTGAATCTGTCTTACTCTTTTCCCTTTCCTTGGGTTTTCATTCGGATTGTTGCCATACAGTGTGGTGTGGGCAATGCTGACCCCTCTATTTATATTTATACATACACAGTGGGGCCACATACTTACACTTATTAGGATGTGGGAAGTATAAATACAAAGCGCCCTTGGTGTAGTGTTAACACACATCCAGTTTGTTGATCAGTAACCAGGAACGTTACGGATGAGTTCGGGGTTCGACTCCGCGAGGGCGCATGATGGTTGATTTCGTTCAGTTTTTGTCTCTCAACTTTGTAGGTTTATTTTTGGTTGGCACATTCTGAATCTGTCTTACTCTTTTCCCTTTCCTTGGGTTTTCATTCGGATCGTTGCCATACAGTGTGGGCAATGCTGAACCCCCTATTTATGCAAGTAAGTCTAAGTCATACGCAGCGGAGTAACATACTTACACTTATTATTAGGATGTGGGTAAGTACAAATGGCACAAAGCGCCCTTGGTGTAGCGTTAACACACATCCCGTTTGTTATTTGATAGGAACAAAGTTTACAGATGAGTTCGGGGTTTGACTCCCCGAGGGTGCATGCAATCTCCTAATCTGCAATTTTTGTCTTTCTTTTCAGCTACATCAGTCCCCAACAAATACTTCAGTGTGTATGTGGGTAAGTACTACAAATGGCATAAAGCACCCTTGGTGTAGTGTTAACACACATCCTGTTTGTTGAACAGTGTGCAAAGAACATTACGGACGAGTTTGGGGTTCGACTCCTCGAGGGTGCATGATACTTGATTTCGTTCAGTTTTTGTCTCTCAACTTTGTAGGTTGATTTTTCGGTTGACACATTCTGAATCTGTCTTACTCTTTTTCCTTTCCTGGGTTTTTAATTCGGTTTGTTACCCTACAGTGTGGGTTGCGTGCTGACCCCCCTATGCATGTTTATGCAAGTAAGTCATATGCAGTGGGGCCACATACTTATAATTTCTTAGGATATGGGCAAGTACAAACACAAAGCACCCTTAGTGTAGCGTTAACACACATCCTGTTTGTTAAACGAGAGAGGAACATTACGGATTAGTTCGGGGTTTGACTCCCCGAGGGCGCATGAGTCCTCCTCATCGGCATTTTTTTTTGTGGCTTGCCACGTCAAACACCTCACAGTGTGTCTATATACACTGGTACCAGCGCCCTCGGTGTAGCGGTTACACACATCTGCAATGTGAAGTTCTTCCTCGCTTTCATTTGGGACAAGTCCGGGGTTCGACTCCCCGAGGACGTATGACGTCGCTTGGTAATCTTTTTTTTTCTTTTTTTTTTTTGGGGGGGGGGCAGTATTCAGTCTTTCAACTGTATTTTTCGGTTGGCACATTCCAATTCTGTCTTACTCTTTTTCCTTTCCTTGGTTTTCATTCGGATCGTTGCCATACAGTGTGGGCAATGCGGTCCCCCCTATTTATTTATGCAAGGAAGTCAGACATGGTGGGACAACATCTCCCTCTTTATAAAATTACGCTGTCTGTCTGTCTGTCTGAAGCTTTTTAAGCTCCGCTAACCCCGCTCTCGGATCAACTTGCCGAAGCACTACACAAAGGGTCCCTTGTGTATTTATTGGGATATTTCAACTCCCTAGGTTGACTGTCTTGCATCTGAACTCTAGAGTAATTTTATAAAGAGGGAGATTATTCCTCCACACCCATAGCTTCACAAACGGCAACGCTGGCTTGCCTTCGGCACATCATGGTGTCTGCCACACTAACGCCCCCATCACTTCTCTATCAAAGAACCCCAGTCATGAGTTCAACCCATCCACGTGGACTGAAGTGGTGGGGCGCAAAGCGCCCCGCCGCACTCTTGTACTTATTAGGATTAGGTTGTGGGCAAGTAAACACAAATGGCATAAAGCACCCTTGGTGTAGTGTTAACACACATCCTGTTTGTTAAACGAGAGAGGAACATTACGGATTAGTTCGGGGTTCGACTCCCCGAGGACACATGCATCATGTTCCTTGACAATTTTTGTCGTTTTTTTCGGCTACGTCTGAATCAGTCCCCAACTAATAGCTCAGCGTGCCTAAGCTGTGCCTACTCTGGTGCCAGCGTCCTTGGTGTAGCGGTTACACGCATCCTATTTGTGCTCGTGTAACACAACGTCTTTAGGATGAGACCGGGGTTCGACTCCCCGAAGACGCATGCGGTGCTCCTCTACTGTGCATTTTTTGTCTTTTTTTCGGCTACGTCTGAATCAGTCCCCAACAAATATATACCTCAGCGTGTCTTCCCTGGTGGTCACCCTGGTGCCTATCCTGGTGCCAGCGTCCTTGGTGTAGCGGTTACACGCATCCTATTTGTTCTCGGGTCACATACAATCTTTAGGATGAGTCCGGGGTTCGACTCCCTGAAGACGCATTGAATATGGTTGGTTTTTCTTATTTTTTATTTTATTGTATTTGGGGGGGGGGGGCAGTATTCAGTCTCTCAACTTTGTAGGTTTATTTTTTATTTTGGTTGGCACATTCTGAATCTGTCTTACTCTTTTCCCTTTCCTTGGGTTTTCATTCGGATTGTTGCCATACAGTGTGGTGTGGGCAATGCTGACCCCTCTATTTATATTTATACATACGCAGTGGGGCCACATACTTACACTTCTTAGGATGTGGGAAGTACAAATACAAAGCGCCCTTGGTGTAGTGTTAACACACATCTAGTCTGTTGATCAGTAACCAGGAACGTTACGGATGAGTTCGGGGTTTGACTCCGCAAGGGCGCATGATGGTTGATTTTGTTCAGTTTTTGTCTCTCAACTTTGTAGGTTTATTTTTGGTTGGCACATTCTGAATCTGTCTTACTCTTTTCCCTTTCCTTGGGTTTTCATTCAGATCATTGCCATACAGTGTGGGCAATGCTGAACCCCCTATTTATGCAAGTAAGTCTAAGTCATACGCAGCGGGGTAACATACTTACACTTATTATTAGGATGTGGGTAAGTACAAATGGCACAAAGCGCCCTTGGTGTAGCATTAACACACATCCCGTTTGTTATTTGATAGGAACAAATTTTACAGATGAGTTTGGGGTTCGACTCCCCGAGGGTGCATGCAATCTCCTAATCTGCAATTTTTGTCTTTCTTTTCAGCTACATCAGTCCCCAACAAATACTTCAGTGTGTATGTGGGTAAGTACTACAAATGGCATAAAGCACCCTTGGTGTAGTGTTAACACACATCCTGTTTGTTGAACAGTGTGCAAAGAACATTACGGACGAGTTCGGGGTTCAGCTCCCCGAGGGTGCATGATACTTGATTTCATTCGGTTTTTGTCTCTCAACTTTGTAGGTTGATTTTTCGGTTGACACATTCTGAATCTGTCTTACTCTTTTTCCTTTCCTCGGTTTTTCATTCGAATTGTTAACATACAGTGTGGGTTGGGTGCTGACCCCCCTATTTATGTTTATGCAAGTAAGTCATACGCAGTGGGGTCACATACTTATAATTTCTTAGGATATGGGCAAGTACAAACACAAAGCACCCTTAGTGTAGCGTTAACACACATCCTGTTTGTTAAATGAGAGAGGAACATTACGGATAAGTTCGGGGTTTGACCCCCTGAGGGCACATGGATCCTTCGTTTCTGCGATTTTTTTTTGTGGCTTGCCAGGTCCAACACCTTACAGCGTGGCTACATCAACACGGGTACCAGCGCCCTTGGTGTACGGTTACACATGTCTGCAATGTGGAGCTTTCCTCTTTATTTGTGACGAGTTCGGGGTTCAACTCCCCAAGGGCGCATTGATTCGAAGAGCGCCTTGTTGGGTTTTTTGGTTCTTTTTTTGGGGGGGGGCAGGGGCGGTATTCAATCTTTCAACTTCCTTTTTCGGTTGGCACATTCTGTCTTACTCTTTTTCCTTTCCTTGGGGTTTCATTCAGATCATTGCCATACAGTGTGGGTTGGGTGCTGACCCCCCTATTTATTTATACAAGTAAGTCATACGCAGTGGGGTAACATACTTATACTTATTATTAGGTTGTGGGCAAGTAGACACAAAGTGCGTTGGTGTAGAGCTAACACACATCCCATTTATTGATCGGTAGTTCGTGACATTACAGATGAGTTCAGGGTTCGACTCCCCGAGGGCACATGAGTCCTCCTCATTGCCAATTTTTTTTGTGGCTTGTCATGTCCAACACCTCACAGTGTGTCTACATACACTGGTACCAGTGTCCTCGGTGTAGCGGGTACACACATCTGCAATGTGAAAAATTTCTTTCTTTCAAGTGGAGAAGAGTCCGGGGTTCGACTCCCTGAGGGCGTATAGGTTCGGAGAATGCCTTGTTGTCTTTTCTTTTTTCTTTTCGCTTGGGGGGCGCCGGGGTATTTAGTCTTTCACCTTTGTGGGTTTGTTGTTTTTTTTTGGTTGACACATTCTGAATCTGTCTCACTCTTTTCCCTTTCCTTGGGTTTTCATTCAGATCATTGCCATACAGTGTAGGTCCTGACCCCCCTACTCATGCAAGTCATATGCAGTGGGACAACATACTTATTAGGATTAGGATGTGGGTAAGCGCCCTTGGTGTAGCGTTAACACACATCCCGTTTGTCAAGGATAGTAAAGGAACATTATGGATGAGTTCGGGGTTCGACTCCCCAAGGGGCCCTGCATCAATTCAAAGAGTGCCTTGTTCTTTTTTATTGTTTATTTTTTTTGTGGGGGGGGCAGTATTCAGTCTCTGAACCTCGTCGGCTTATTTTTCGGTTGGCACATTCTGTCTTCAGTACTCTTTTCCCTTTCCTTGGTTTTTCATTCAGATCATTGCCATACAGTGTGGGTTGGGTGCTGACCCCCCTAAGTATTTATGCAAGTAAGTCATACACAGTGGGGCACCATACTTACACTTATCAAGATGTGGGTAAGTACAAACACAAAGCACCCTTGGTGTAGCGTTAACACACATCCTGTCTGTTGATGGGTAGTCAAGGAACGTTACGGATGAGTTCGGGGTTCGACTCCCCGAGGGTGCATGATAGTTGATTTCGTTCAGTTTTTGTCTCTCAACTTTGTAGGTTGATTTTTCAGTTAGCACATTCTGTATCTGTCTTACTCTTTTTCCTTTCCTTGGGGTTTTATTCGGACAGTTGCCATACAGTATGGTGTGGGCAATGCTGACCCCCTCTTTATGTTTATACAAGTAAGTCATATACACGGTGGGGTCACATACTGATAATTTATTGGGACATGGGCAAGTACAAACACAAAGTGCCCTTGGTGTAGTGTTAACATACATCCTGTTTGTGGATCAGTAGCAAGAAACATTACAGATGAGTTTGGGGTTCAACTCCCTGGTGCATGATACTTGATTTCATTCAGTTTTTGTCTCTCAACTTTGTAGGTTGATTTTTTGGTTGGCACATTCTCAATCTGTCTTACCCTTTTTCCTTTCCTTGGGTTTTCATTCGGATCGTTGCCATACAGTGTGGTGTGGGCAATGCTGACCCCCTATTCATGTTTATGGAAGTAAATCATACGCAGTGGGCCAACATACTTATAATTTATCAGGATGTGGGCAAGTACAAACACAACATGCCCTTGGTGTAGTGTTAACACACATCCAGTTTGTTGATCAGTAACCAGGAACGTTACGGATGAGTTCGGGGTTCGACTCCCTGAGGGTACGGTAGGCGGGATGGTCGAGGTTGAATTTCGGCAGTTGTGACATTTTGACATTGGCATTTTGTTCTGAGGATTTTTGACAGATGGGTCTGATTGACCCCTATCTGCACTTCTTCAAGCTGGAAAATGCTCTAGGTTTATTCCTTTCCATGCAATAGCCCCTGAGGCTGACATAGTTATCCTCCTTATTGCTGAACCTTCAGGTTTGGCTATGTAAGAGAACATCCATTGATCCCGCCTTTACAACACGACCAGATAAAAGAATACTCATACATGGTTTGTCATAACGTCTTGAACGCAGCAGAGTCCATGCAATTGGGGACTGTAGATCTCTCACGATTTTCTGAAGGGGAAAATGAGATCGGCTTTGTTGGGACTTTAGACTTGGATCAATCCTCCCAGCCGAACGTGCTAAGCCAGCTTGGCAATAAGGTGGGGACTGCGATTCAGGCTTCAACGGAACTCCAACTCCAACATGCGAATATGGAGGGAAACTTACTCAAAGTGGGCGAGAAGCAATTTGAAAGAACATTGTCGCTCTATGGGCAGCAGGGTTTATATTTAATTCAATTTACCATTTGGCTGTTTCTGTTTAGATACTTACATTACACTGTTGCGAACTTGAAGCCAAATGACAAGGTGGCAAGTCAACCTCAACCCATTCCTAATGCAAGAGATTGAGTGAGAAGGTTCATTAGGATGTGGAACTACTGCGTGTATATTTTAGAGCATTTTGCAGGCACCTCCCTTGCACCTCAATAGGTTGAAGCAGCGCAAATAGGGGTCGATCAGACCCATCTGTCAAAAATCCTCGGAACGAAATGACAATGTCAAAATGTCACAACTGCCGAAATTCAACCTCGACCATCCCGCCTACCGTACTGAGGGTGCATGCAACTCTCCTCATCGGCATTTTTTTTTGTGGCTTGCCACGTCAAACAACTCACAGCGTGTCTATATACACTGGTACTAGCGCCCTCGGTGTAGTGGTTACACACATCTGCAATGTGAAGTTCTTCCTCACTTTCATTTGTGACTAGTTTGGGGTTCAATTCCTCGATGGCGCATAGATTCTTTGTGTGAAATCTTTTTTAATCTTTTCTTTTGGTTGGCACATTCTGTCTTAAGTACTCTTTTTCCTTGGGTTTTCGGATCGTTGCCGTGCTGATGCCCTTATTTATGCAAGTAAGTCATATACACAGTCGGGCCACATACTGATAATTGGTGATGAGTTTGGGGTTCAACTCCCCGATGGCGCATGGATCTGTTGGGTTATTTTTTTTCTTTCTTCTTTTGTACATGTGGGGGGGGGCGCCGGGGTATTCAGTCTTTCACCTTCGTGGGTGTGCTGTTTTTTTTTGGTTGACACATTCTGAATCTGTCTCACTCTTTTTCCCTTCCTTGGGTTTTCATTCAGATCATTGCCATACAGTCTGGGTGCTGACCCCTATTTATGTAAGTCGTATGCAGTTGGGCAACATACTTATAATTTATTAGGATGTGGGCAAGTACAAACACAAAGCGCCCTTGGTGTAGCATCAACACACATCCTATTTGTTAAACGGTAGTAATAAACCTTACGGATGAGTTCGGGGTTCGACTCCCCAAGGGCGCATTTGGTCCTCCTCATCGTCGAATTTTTTTTTTTTGGCTATGTCAGTCCCCAACAAATACCTCAGTGTGCCTACACTGGTGCCAGCGCCCTTGGTGTACGGTTACACACGTCTGCAATGTGAAGATTCTCTTTTGTTTGTGACGAGTCTGGGGTTTGACTCACCGAGGGCGCCTGGATTTGAATGGTATTGGTTTTTTATTTTTATTTTTATTTTTTGGGGAGGCAGTATTCAGTCTCTCAACCTTGTGCGCTTCTTTTCAGTCGACACATTCTGTTTTAAGTACTCTTTTTCCTTTCCTTGGGTCTTCATTCGGATCGTTGCAATCCATACAGTGTGATGTGGGCAATGCTGACCCCCCTATGTAAGTCATATATACGCAGTGGGGCCACACTTCATACTTATTACAATTGGGATGTGGGTAAGTACAAAAAAAAAGTGCCCTTGGTGTAGCGTTAACACACATCCCGTTTGTCAATCGGCCACCAGGAACATTCCGGACGAGTTCGGGGTTCGACTCCCCGAGGGTGCATGATACTTGATTTCATTCAGTTTTGTCTCTCAACTTTGTAGGTTTATTTTTTGGTCGGCACATTCGGAATCTGTCTTACTCTTTTTCCTTTCCTTGGGGTTTCATTCAGACGGTTGCCATACAGTGTGGTGTGGGCAATGCTGACCCCCCTATTTATGTTTATGGAAGTAAATCATACGCAGTGGGCCAACATACTTATAATTTATCAGGATGTGGGCAAGGACAAACACAACACGCCCTTGGTGTAGTGTTAACACACATCCAGTTTGTTGATCAGTAACCAGGAACGTTACGGATGAGTTCGAGGTTCGACTCCCTGAGGGTGCATGAATTCTCCTCATTGGCATTTTTTTTTGTGGCTTGCCACATCAAACACCTGACAGTGTGTCTACATGCACTGGTGCCAGCACCCTCGGTGGAGTGGTTCCACACGTCTGGAATGTCCAGATTTGTTTCCATTGAATTTGTGATGAGTCCGGGGTTCGACTCCCCGAGGGCGCATAGGTTTGAGAGTGCCTTCTTGTTTTTTCTTTTTTCTTTTCTTTTTTTGGGGGGCGGGGTATTCAGACTCTCAACTTTGTAGGTTGATTTTTCGGTTAACACATTCTGTCTTACTCTTTTTCCTTGGGTTTTCGGATCATTGCCATACAGTGTAGGTGCTGACCCCTATTTATGTAAGTCATACACAGTGGGGCAACATACTTATTACGATTAGGATGTGGGTAAGTACAAACAGCACAAAGCGCTCTTGGTGTAGCGTCAACACACATCCTGTCTGTTGATGGGTAGTCAAGGAACGTTACGGATGAGTTCGGAGTTCGACTCCCCGAGGGCGCATGAGGTCATGCTTTTCTGCAATTTTTTTTTTGTGGCTTGCCACATCAAACACCTCACAGTGTGTCTACATGCACTGGTGCCAGCGCCCTCGGTGGAGCGATTCCACACGTCTGCAATGTTCAGATTTGCTTCCATTGAATTTGTGATGAGTCTGGGGTTCGACTCCCCAAGGCGCATAGGTTCGGAGAGCGCCTTGTTGTTTTTTCTTTTTTCTTTCTTTTTTTGGGGGGCGGGGTATTCAGTCTCTCAACTTTGTAGGTTTATTTTTTGTTTTAGTTGGCACATTCTGTCTTACTCTTACTCTTTTCCTTGGGGTTTCATTCAGATCGTTGCCATACAGTCTGGGTGCTGACCCCCTATTTATGCAAGTCATACACAGTGGGGCAACATACTCACAATTCATTAGGATGTGGTTAAGTACAAACACAAAGCACCCTTGGTGTAGCATTAACACACATCCTATTTGTTAAACGGTAGTAATAAACCTTACGGATGAGTTCGGGGTTCGACTCCCCGAGGGCGCATTGATTTGAATGGTATTGGTTTTTTATTTTTTTTGGACGGCAGCATTCAGTCTCTCAACTTTGTGGGTTTATTTATGTTTTGGTTGGCGCATTCTGTATTACTCTTACTCTTTTCCTTTCTTTGGTTTTTCATTCAGATTGTTGCCATACAGTGGGCAATACTGACCCCCCTATTTATGTTTATGCAAGTAAGTCATATGCTGGGGCAACATACTTATTAGGATTAGGATGTGGGTAAGTAAGTACGAAGTGCCCTTGGTGTAGCATTAACACACATCCTGTTTGTTAAACGATCGCAAGGTAGTAAGGAACATTACGGATGAGTTCGGGGTTCGACTCCCCGAGCGCATGATACTTGATTTCGTTCAGTTTTTTTCATCTTCGTTTTTATATCCTTTTTAGTTCTATTCTATGTTCCTGGCTCAAGCCTTCCTTTCTTCCTTCCTTCCCTCCTTCCTTCCTTCCTTCCTTCCTTCCTTCCTTCCTTCCTTCCTTCCTTCCTTCCATCTTTAGCTTCAATCCCGGGCCTCCATTAAACAGCAGCAAGTAAATTCAAGAGAAGTGCAAAGCGTCCTTGGTGTATCGGCAACATGTCTGCGCCGCGGCTGCAAACAAGTGGTTGGCGTGTTTGGGACGAGTCCAGGGTTCGACTTCCTGGTGGCATGCAAAGCTCGCGTCATATTCTTTCAAGCGTTCTTTCTTGGTTTTGTTATCAAGATCGTCCATTCCACCTCGATACTCCAACAGACACTGGGTGCATCATCTGTCTTTGGTGTATGTATAGTGGAAACATTCATGCCCCTTGTATTCAAATCGCCAGGAAAGGGAATTTCCGGATGGCTCGTAGCCTGGTGTTCAATTCCTCAAAGGTGCATAAGTCTTGGGTATTGAGTTCTTTTTGGGGGGTTGGTAGGTCGGTGTTGGCACATTCTGTCTCAAACTTCTCTCTCTCAAACTTCTCTCTTACAGCCTTCTGCAGAATTCAGAGCAGGGACGGTTTTTTGTTTCATTTTCAAGAATTTTTCATGAGGAACACCGCTGCCACAAGCTCAATTTTGATCGGACTGCCTCGGCACTTCTGGCACTAGGTCTAGTGGGAATCCGATCTAGTTTAGTTTAGTATGTAATATGCAAGATGGAAGATGCATGTATCATGTAGCTAGATACCAAGCTCAAGGAGACAAAGCGTCCTTGGTGTAGCGAAAACACGCATCTTGGAATTACACTCTGGACAGCACTCAAACAAGATGAGACCGGGGTTCAACTCCCCGAGGGCGCATGAATGCTACATCCATAATGTTTTGTTTTGCCTGTTCTCCTATTCTGTGGTGCCCTCCATACTGCATCCAATAAATCCCACCAGCAATATTTTGTTTGTTTGTCTTGTGTTCACCTCTTCCTCCAGCATTAGTAGAATGAAATATGATTTACTCTATGTAGAATGTAGCTAGGTACCAAGCTCAAGGGCACCAAGTGTCTTTGGTGTAGCGGAAAAAACACGTATCTTTAAAATGCACCTCATCCACTGATAGCAAGCATCAAGATGAGAATAGGGTTCAACTCCCTTGGCAGGGGGGATGGTACATACATACCATCTCGCAATTATTTTTTTCTTTCCATTCTTTTTGTACTTATTCTGTATCAGTTTGGTTGGCGTAAGTACTTATTCTGTCTTTTCTGTCTTTCCTCCTTCCATGTAATATTCCTTGCTCTGTTTCTTAGGTATGTAATATGTATTCCCCAACTAATCCAGTGTATAAGGTAAGGCACACATACGTGCACAGTGACTTGCCTATAAAGCGACCTTGATGTAGCGGTAACACACATCCTGCATATGGGATGCAATTATGACGGTTAAGGGTGGGTCCGGGGTTCGACTCCCCGAGGGCGCATGGCGTAAGAGCTTGCTTCCACTTTTTTGCCGTTTTATTCTACTCTTTTCGGTTTAAATGTCCCATTTCCATAACTTCCTTTGCCTTCCATCTTCAATTCAATCCAATCCTCCAATCACCCGTCTTTGGTGTGAAGGACACATTCGAATTTCCGGATGAGCCTGGGGTTCAATTCCTCAAGGGCGCATATTGCAGCGTGCAAGGTTTTTGTGGAAATCTCATTTTTCTTTTCTATTTTTTGCTTGGTTTGATACTTCGATGCTCCATAAACATCTCGGCGTGTCTAAACGGGTATTAAGCGCCCTTGGTATATACGCGTCTTTAATCTGGAAAAGGCCTCACAGATAATTAATTAATTAAGGCGAGTCCGGGGTTTGACTCCCCGAGGGCACATGGTTCGAGACTTTTCTGCTTTTTCTCTCTAGCTATTTTCAATACAACTTTGTGGGTTTTAGTTTGGTTTGTCGGTTTCAGCTGGCCCATTCATTCACTCTTGTTCTCAAGTTTTTCTTGGGTCTTTCCGGTTTTGACCGTGCTGTGCGGTATTGAGTCTGCCTATTAAATAAGTAATTGATCACTGGGGCCAACATAGGATCATTGGGAAGGCGAACAGATTCCTGAGTTGATGCGGACTGATCGGTGTTGCATTTCCTTCCCTTTCTCTCAGTATGTTCTTTGGGGATTGGTTATTATTCATCCCACCTCAGTTCTCGACAAACACGTCGGCGTGTCCAGTAAAGTGCAAAGAGTCCTTGGTGTACGGAAACACACATCCTGTTTGTGCTTGACTGTCCACGTCGACTGAAACTTTAGGATGAGACCGGGGTTCAACTCCCCGAGGACACACACAATTCGGTGCACCGAGGTTTCGGGTGTATTCTTTCAACCTTTTGGTTTAATGGTTGGTTTCAAGCTTTTCTTCCTCTTTTCCCTTCTGTCCCTTTCCTTCTGCTGTTTCTTATTTGTTGGGTACTGTGTTGACTCCTGTTGACTCTACCTGTGATATAATTCATCCGGAGGGTGAAAAACACCTGATACAGGATGGACAATGTTGGATGCAAAAAGGGACACAGCACCCTGGGTGCAGAAGTTACACGCATCGTTGTCGAGGTGGAAAAGACAGTTTACGATGAGTGCGGGGTTCGACTCCCCGGGGGCACATATACAGAGTCAGGACCTTTTTGGTCCATATTCCTTTTGAGTTGGTTTTATTTTTGGTGGTTCCATCTGCTCGTGGTGTGCATTTTGCATTTAAATTTCATTTCTCATCTTGTTCTTGTTCTGGTTCTGGTTCTGGGTTTCAAAGATTATCATCCATCCATACAGCACGTACCAACCACATCCATAAAGTGTGTACTGACCGACCAAGCTAGTTCTCATCATTCCAAGCTGAAGCTGCTGGACTCTTGTTACGATTGTTACGATTGTGAACACTGCCTATATCAAATACATGACTGAGGTATGATCAATGAGATCTACCACGGCAGGCCATAGGGCAAGCACTTCCAACCACATTTTCTACCACCAAACCCTTCTAACCAGTGCACTGTCTGCTTGGCGCGCTGTGCTCTTCATCGTCATCTTCATTGGCCGCGGACTTCCAGAGTGCCCAAATCATCACCAAAGAACCCTATCCAGCAGGGACCAAGAAGTCGGAGGAGTGTTGAGGAAGGAGAAAGGGGGGGAAAGGATATTCATCATCGTCTGCCGCGTGTGTCGATAGCAAGGGCGGTCGTCTCCTGCCAATGGTTTGTTTCTGACTCTCGGCTTTCGTGTGGTGCTCTAAAGACACGCACACAGTTCAACAACTTGACAGCCCACCAATCCACTACTGTACAATTTCGTTCAATTCGGCGGTCACGCGTCACGCCCATTTTTTTTTATTGCGGCAATAATTTTTTCACGATTTATGAGATTTCTTTTGGATTTTAATTGTATCAAAAATCCGAACTTCGTGCCGAATTGATTGAAATTGTACAGTATATTAGTACATACCTATATTGTCACTAATATACTGTAGAATTTCATTCAATTCGGCACGGGTCGTGACCCGTGACCGAAAATACCGATTCGGCACTTCGGCACCCAACAAAGTTTAGCGTGACACTTACAAAATTCCGGCATTCAGCACGGAAATTTTCGAAAATTCCGCCTTTTTTGGAGCTCCAAGCGAGATTTGGCCCGGGTGTCACGAATTTTACATTCGGCACTGGGTGCCGTGACCCGTGACCGAGACGAAAATTCGTCGCGGCACAGGGGGTGCGTGACGCGTGACTGCCGAATTGAATGAAATTGTACAGTATTGGTCTGTCACAGAGACTACCAATCCACTATCGCGCCGGTAACATATGTCCGTGTGCGACGCATTGTATGTGGGGCGAGGCCGGGGTTCGACTCCCCAATGGTACATATGTCAAAAGCCGTGAATTTTTTTTTTCGTTTTTATTCTCGGTTCTCCACTGATAGTCATACTTTTTCCGGAATGAAGTGTCGAGTAAGCCAGAGGGTTGGTGTTAGACCATGGAGTGTTGATACCGAATATCATTGCGCCCTCGGTGTAGTGGTAATAGGGTCAGTCAGAGTAGGTTTTAATCAGTCGTTTCTGGACTCGTTTCTCGAGTCGTTTCTCGAAATATTAAAGCGTGGGAGAAACGAGAAACGCCTCAGAAACGATGTAGAAACTCCTCCGGAGGAGTTTCTGCATCGTTTCTGAAGTCGTTTCTCCCGCCAAATAAATCCAGGGTCGTTTCTTCCCGCGTTTCTGATGCCAACAATTTTCAGAAACGAGTTCTGAAACGACCTCAGAAACGTCGAAACGACCTACTCTGACTGACCCTAATCCCTGCCTTACACCTGACCAAGTATGTGCCATTGAACCTTTGAGGTTCAACTACTCCACCCTCCTGTCCTCGCGCCTTTGGTGTAGTGTTAACACCCGTCTGTTGGATGCAACATATACATGAACGTTTCAGACGAGATCAGGGTTCGACTCCCTGAGGGCGCTTAATCTAGTGTTGTAATTAAGGGTCTTATTAAGGGTGGCCAAATTAAGGGTCAAATTAAGGGTTATTTCCCAAAATAGCCCGGTCTGCCGCTGCACCGAAATCATTTGCAAGAAGGTTCTACATGCGTATTCAAACTTCATTATCATCCCCAGAACCTTCCTGAGCACCAGTGTCGGGCTCTTCCTCACTGTGCTCAGCTGCAAGAAGCTCCATGTATAAGCTTTGTCGGATACAACGTGTTTGCATCTAGCAAGTGTGATGGGATTCTCAACAACCCCGCTGAAGAGTAAGTAAGTAAAGTAAAAAGAGAAACTCACCTCAGTCTTGTGCATGCAGGTGATAAGAAGTCTGAGGAGAGCGACAGATTATATACTGTGACGAGTGCATCAATGTAACTAAAAGGGCAAGTACGATACATTGAGCATGGCCAAAAACCATGAGTTGGCTGCCATCCCTGCAGAGTGCAATTCTGCCAACCCTGCACGCCAATTACACCGCCGTGCGGTGGTAACGTAAAGGGCCTGTCGAGCCTGGTTGCCGTATATTTTCTGTATTCCCACCGAGGGCGGGGCGGAAAGCGGAGTGGGGCAAAAATGCGTCAGACTCTTTAGTGGTACCGCACATTGCAGTCATTTATTTTTCGATCTCTGGACTCGGAGTCTGCCGGTTCTTGGCATTGGGATACTAAGGGTTAATAAGGGCTTCAGATGCATCCAACCCATTATTAAGGCCTTAACTTGATATGGGTTAAGCCCTTATTAAGACTAAGCCCTTAAGGTCTTAGCTACAACACTGGCTTAATCTCAGCACGAGCTTTTGCAAAATAAAATAAATAAAAAAACCGTTTTCGATTCTTCTACGCGGTGTGCGGCGTCCTGCTCATATCCCCGGGTCTCAAATATTCACTGTCTCTCTGACAAGAAAAAAGGAGCTTTTCCAGAAGCCTCCAACAGTTACGCAATTGGGTCTCAACCATGGAGTGTCGTGTTTGATTGTAGAACCAGGGCAAGGAAGTGGTTCAGTTGGATTGAGTGAATTGAACCGTGTGAATGAGAACGAGAAAGTCACGCTAGTCGATCACTGAAATTAAGAAGCACAATAATGCCTTGTTTCCCAGTCGGCGATGACGCATACAAGAATAGAATAAGTATTTACGAAATTCTTCTCATGAAGTTTTGTCCGCTCTTTGAAAAAATCGCAAAACGCTTGGCACCTCTACATCATGTGCAACTCGAACCAACGCAAATCAAGTGAACTCGTCTTTCTTTAGTTCCCTACTGGAATAAGTATGTATTCTCAGGCGCAGGTAGATACCTGTCAATAACGCTCAAACAGGCGAGCTGCGAGTGTTAAATTCCTACCATAGGATCAGAGCAGCAAGTCCCACCATCATTATTTATGACGCCCAGTCTTTGCAGAGGGAACACGCGTCTCCAAGTTGACTAGTTGAGACGGATCCGAGGGTGCACACCGAAAATTTTCAGGACCTCTTTTGCTGGTGAAACACCACAGTACCACGCGATCCGCTAGATAAGGACCCTCAAGATCTCTTCCTTGCTTTCCGCCTGCGAGGCTCACGGTGCCGGGTCAAACGGAGCGCCAAGTATCACTGGCGTTCAGATCGTTTCCCGTGACACTGTACAGACACTAGAACATATTGGGGACCCTCAAGACTTGTTGCTTGTTATCCGTATGCAAACCTTTAGGGGAGGACTTTACAGGCCCCAGTGCACATATTAGGACTAATCAACGCTACTTCTGATAAATTCCCAAGATCCGAACGGAAAACACAAGATAAGTGCACGTCAGCGAAGTAGCGCGCTCCCTGGTTCTAATATGGAACCTAGTAGGCCAGAGGCTCCGCGATTCAATACGTAAAACAGGTAAACAGGGAATCGCATCGCTCTAGCCGCGAAAGCCTGGACGTGCGGTACGTTCAATATGTAAGATCGTAGAATGCCCTACGGAACCGTTTGTTTACCGGGGATTTTCAGATCAGATAAAAGCTCAAGATCAAAACAAACTCCACAACTCACTTTCCCTCTTGTCCGCAATTTTTCACCAGTCTTACTAGTCCACACGATGGAGGTGGAAATTTCAATAAGTCTCGTCTGCATCATGACAGCACTGGTACTCCCCTCAATTGTATCACTGTTGTGGCGCGGATACCCAAAGGTGTGGACTACGATCTAATGACCATAGTATGGTGCTAATAAGGCCCAGAATGCCATTCCGCCATTTGTCGGGGCCACGGACATCCTCTCATCCTGCATGACGGCATTCAAACTCCAGTTCGATGCGACGAAAATGTTCCGCAAGGCCTACTCTCAGCATGGAAACGGCGTCTTTCGGCTGCCTGGATTTTCCCGCTGGACGTATCTCATTTCGGAGCGGAAGTACATTGCTGAAGTTGCATCGGCTCCGGAACACGTCGTGTCATTCAATGAAGGACTCGCCGATGTACGACATTTGCCGTCATGCAACATAAGTTATGTCGCTTACTGCCCTACTATTAGGTCCTCCAAACAGACTGGACACTTGGCCGGGACATCACAGAAAATGCATACCATACACCGGCAATCCGAGTGGGGTTGCGTAACCTAAGTCTGAGTTTCCCGCAAATGCATGACGAACTTGCGCACGCGTTCGATACTTTGCTGGCGCTGAATAACAACGGTGCGATGACATTAGAATTTTTGCAGTCATAACCCTAACCATGCATGTGGCTTCAGAATGGAAACCAATCACTGTTGTTCCTACTGTCACACAAATCATCTCTCGCATCACCGCTCGCGTTTTTGTTGGCCTTCCGCTCTGTGCGTTCTTGATATTTAACGTCGGTTCCAAGATTGACCGGAGAGTTTAGGCAGAAACAAGGAATACTTGGATCTCACCAATGGCCACAACATCAGAGTTTTCGCAGCGTCGCAGATCCTCAGAATTTGTCCTGACTTTCTCAAGCCGTAAGCGCGACCCGTTTCAGAGTATACTTGTCCCGATAAATGGCGGTTAACATAGGATCATCGCTCCGATAATCACGACGCGCAAGAGCGCCGTTCGTCATGCGCTGACTCTTCTGGGGCCCATGATTGAGGACCGCCTCGAAATTGAACGCGAAGTCGGTCGGGATTGGCCGGACAGACCGGTTCGTTTGGTTGACTTTGATGTTGAACTTTTCCACTGATGGTCCTCAGAATGACCTAATATCATGGCTGCTCGACTTCGCCGAGGGCGATGACCGAACACCGGAGGCACTCGTCCGACGCATCCTTACCCTCAACCTAGCTGCACACAATACATGGATGGTATTAAATATTCCTCCCCGGCGGTCACCATCTAACAATTCATCAGTCGATGACGGCCGCACTGTATGATCTTGCAAAATACCACGAATACGTTCTCCCGCTGCGCGAAGAGGCGGAGCGCGTGGTCGCGGAACAAGGTTGGACAAGAGCATCAATCAGCAACATGCACAAAATCGACAGTTTCCTCCGCGAGTCGCAACGGCTGAGTGCAAGCGGACCTAGTAAGCCAACATCTTGCCTGTTTTACTCGATGTAATTGTGTTGTAGTTGGAATGGCGCGTCAAGTAGTCGCGAAGAACGGCTTCACGTTCAGCGACGGAACAACACTTCCCTACGGCTCGTTCCTGAGTGTCCCTGGCCATAATGTCAACTCTGATCCAGGTATTTAGTATCCTCGTCATGTTACTGAAACTGACATTTTTGAAAGCCGTGTACGAGAGGCCCGAATTCTTCGATGGCTTCCGCTTTTCGCGCATGCGCGAGGAGCGCGAGAATGGTTCCCGTACATACCAGGAACCCAGTATTTTCACACACCACATGGTCACCACAAGTCCGAATCACGTTGTGTATGGACACGGACGCCATGCGTGTCCCGGGAGGTGTGCTTACCACACCTTGACTTGAGCGTACACCAGTTCTGATGAACCACTTCAGATTCTTTGCCGCGCTACAACTTAAAACAGCACTTGCCCACATCCTGATAAACTATGATGTCAAGGCACAGACCGAGGGTGTCCGACCGCCTGATCACGAATTCAGTTTGTTCAAGGTTCCAAATACGCGCGGGCAAATCTACATTCGGAAGAGGCTTTGAATATATATACTAGTACGTCGAATAAGATGGAGAAACATGGTCTATTTTACCATGGGCAGGGTGAAAGTGCCGCTGTGCCGCTGCAAGTGCTGCAGACTGCCGCAGCGAATGGGGATTGCCGCAGCAAATTGCCGCGGCACTGTCACACTGCTGCTGTGTCACGCTGCTGCAAGTGCCGCACTCAACTAAGAATATTGCATATTAAGTTGAGCCAGCGAATGGATAGCAAAATGTGTCCAGCACATGCTTACAATGCCAGAAAACTCTCAAAATCATATTGATACCAAAATATTTGCAAAATAGTCAACCGTGGGGAAAAGTACACGGCGAGGCTAAGCTCGCATACAACATGAGATGTCTTCATAACTTGGGACAATGGTGACGCTGGATCAAAAATATGCACTGCACTATACAGGTTTGTATTCCCTTTGCACTGAGGCTACATACATCGATTTTTTCGTATTCTATGAGTCAGACGAGACTGCAGTTAGTTCAAACTTGTTCATTGACCATGAGAAGATTGTTAACAGGGCCACGGGTTGCCACTGAAGCGATTGCAGATTGATTGAAAGTAATCACTGCGTTCCGACCCCTCCTAGACACACTTTTTCGGTCTGTCTAGGGTCTGTCTAGGGTCTGTCTAGGGTCTGTCTGGCAGCCAGAATTAGGCTAGACAGACCCTAGACAGATCAAGACAGATCAAGCCAGATCAAGCCAAACTCTGTCTAGGAGGGGTCGGAACGCAGTGAATTTACCTCAACGGGCCAAGGACCAAGGCTGACTCAGAAGCCCTGGCCGTAGAAGAAAATTCAAAGTGTGCCGACATTGGAGGAGTGAGCCGTCGATTTGAGCCACGCAAGCTCTCAGTAAGGTGCATAAG